AGGTTTCTTTTTAAAATTAAAAACTCCTTCTCATTTATGTCATAAGACATCCTAGTCAGCAAAGCTAAGATTTCACTAGTTTTTAAATTTATGAAAAACATTTTTAACCAAAACTCAATGTTACAGAGAAAACCTAACTGAATGGCTCATAAAAAACATGTCAATTCTTCTCTAGATTATTTTCTTAAATAGCTTAGGTAAAGTGCCACATGCCTATAGTTTCAGCAACTCCAGATGCTGAGGTAAGCCCAGCCTAAGCAACATAGTGAGATTACATCTCTAAAAAAAAAAATAGTAATAATACATAAAATTTTAAAAATAAAAAATGCACTTAGCATAAACTATTTTATTATTTAGTTCATACATTAAAAGTAGCTCTGAATATGAATTATTCACTAGTCAAAATTCTTTTTTTTTTTTTCTTTTTTCTGAGACAGGGTCTCTCTCTGTGACCCAGGCTGGAGTGCAGTGGTATGATCATGGCTCACTGCAACCTCTGCACCCTGGGCTAAAGCGATTTTCCCACTCCAGGCTCTCGAGTAGCTGGAACCACAGGCGTATGCCAGCACACCCAACTAATTTTTTGTATTTTTAGTACAGATGGGGTCTCGCCATGTTGCCCAGGCTGGTCTCGAACTCCTGAGCTCAAGTGGTCCTCTGACCTCAGCTTCCCAAAGTGCTGGGATTATAGGCATGAGCCACCATGCCTGGCCCACTAGTCGAAATTCTTAATGACTAAATAATTTTATCAAAAATAAAGAGGACAAGGCTGGCGTGGTGGCTCACACCTGTAATCCTAGCACTTTGGGAATCCAAGGCGGATGGATCACCTGAGGTGAGGAGTTTGAGACCAGACTGGCTAACATGGTAAAACCCTGTCTCTACTAAAAATACAAAAATTAGCTGGGCATGGTGGCAGGCACCTGTAGTCCCACCTACTCAGGAGGCTGAAGCAGAAGAATCTTTTGAACCTGGGAGGCGGAGGTTGCAGTGAGCCAAGATTGTGCCACTGCACTCCAGCCTGGGCAACAGAGTGAGACTCAGTCTCAAATAATAATAATAATAAATAAAAATAAAGAAGACATATTTTTTAAATGTGATTACTATCAAGGACTTGACAGCAAGACTTTAAAACAAAATGACACCAGGTGCAGTGGCTCACGCTTGTAATCTCAGCACTTAGGGAGGCCAAGGCAAGTGGATCAATGAGGTCAGGAGATTGAGACCATCCAACATGGCGAAACCCTGTCTCCACTAAAAACACAAAAAATTAGCTGGATGTGATGGCATGTGCCTGAAATCCGAGCTACTTGGGAGTCTGAGGCAGGAGAATAGCTCAAACCAGGGAGTCAGAAGTTACGGCAAGCCGAGATTTCACCACTACATTCCAGCCTGGCAACAGAGAGACTTTGTCTCAAAAAAAAAAAAAAAAAAGACTGCTTTGAAAAACTATAAAAATGCATGCAAGAACCCATCTGACTAAAGAACCAATATTATTCATGAGTCTTTTTAATCAAGATTCTGCAGACACCAGCTTCACTAACAAAGAGTAGTTGATGCAATATCACTTAGTAAGGTTCATGTACCTCTGAGTGGCCTAGGAAGCAGGTCTGTATTTCTGCTTCATTTTCATTTTGAGCTTTCCTCTAAGGGCAGTGTCTAGACACAGTAGTGAATTGATCGTGCTTGAGATGACTCAGGAAGGCTTCTGAGCAACTGGTGGAATTAACCCATGGTCTAGAAATGATGGGTTGTTAAATGACCAAAATAATTAAGAAAGTATATTTATTTTCATTACTTGCAGGAAAAAAACCATATTTCTAAAGCATATCAACCTGGGTACTTTTTCTATCCAAGGCTGAAAGTGAATATTTGAGAAACTATGTTTCTAACTGGAAGAATTCTGAAATGATGTTCTTCTACAACATGTAGGCGATGTGTCGCAATGAAAATGAAAGTTCCTTCTGAAGAGCTGTAACCCTACAAAGCCTAATATGCCATTTATACTTTCTCTAGCCCAGAGACTCTGGATTTCTTCTCCGGGGCTACATTACCACATAACCATCAAACCAACTGCCCAATATTGCTGAGCAATTGATCAGAACACATAGACCTGATTCAGATATATAAATTTTATTTTTATGGCACTAAAACATATAGGTGAAAACTTTTAAATTCAGGCAACTGACATGCCAGATGCCTACATATTTGAGAAGGCTGGAACACCATAAGACACAGAATAGCTGACTAAAAAGTGAAAAATCCAGTGAGTTAGGCTGTTGCATTACACAAAATCATAGCGTTTTCAAAAGTGCAAGGACATAGTGATCACTGATTTCAGTGACTATCCAACAATATTATCAAGAGCCCTTAGGGTTCCCTACGGGTTCCTTTAGAAGCCTCCTTCAAAGCTGTGAGTGCATGGCCAAAGGGGAAGCTATATTCATCAACCAGACTAATCAGAGATCAGAGAGCAGAAATACAGTTAACAGAGAATGGAGTACATTTGCTTTCGGGGATGTTCATGTTTTCTTGTGCATATTGAAAACAGCTGGGCGCTCATTTTTGTATAATACTCGGAGCCTCTTTTGATAACTTAAAAAGGCATTCTATATGAATGAAAACCCTGTTGGCTTCAGATTGGTCAAAGCAACGGATTTTAAATAGTAACTCAACTTCCTAGAAAACTTTGTATTTAGAAATGTTTTCTTCGTTCAGCGAACAGGGAAAACTAATCAAAACCTTGTTGTTAGTCTGATGTTTTCTTTTCTTTGCAGCAAACTCCCAAAAAACCTCTGAGGTTTTCTTAGTCATGTTTGCAATTTTTAAAGTGTTGAATTGCCTAAATCTCTGATGTCATGACACTTAATTCCTGCATTTTCTTGCTTTCACTAGAACTGAACACTCCCTAACAAGATTGACCCTCTCTAGAAAGAAAACAAATAGTCATATGAAGTCAGAAGATGACCTATCAAGTTTATGATAGCTTTCTTTGACTTTTGTGGGAGGAGAAAATTATACCATCCATACTGCATAGGTTGGGCTTTAAATAATATTTGCCTATAAGCAATACGCAATTGGATATTGATTTTATGTAAACATATACAATGCTTGTAAGCAACAGAAAATATATTTTACATCAATGTATGCACTGCCAATAAGTAACAGGAATTGTATTTTACATGAATGTATGAAGTGATAAATTTTTAACAGGCAAAAAACAGTGTTAAAAGCGGAACTGGCATGCTTTCCTAGGCTGTCTCTGTGATAATGACCTCAAAGTCAATGATTTCTTCATAAAGATGAAATAAGTTTATTGCAACTTGATTGCATCACCTAAAATATAACTCTTGACTTGGAGACTTGCCCTTATGTTTTATGAGGTCTGAAATAAAAGGAAACTGATGGAACTGAACCAGCAAATTATTTTGCAATCCATGACTGCAGTTGTATATAGCAGATGTAGTCAATTGTTGAGGAAAGTTGGACCAAATTTCCATCTTGTTCAGTACTGTTGATAGCTCTATTCAAAATACATCCTTGCCATTAGAGGAACTGACCCATAGTAATGAACTATTTTTAAAGGGTAGGTTATTAATCAATGAGTGATTCTCAAATATCTTGATGGTTTCCATTGTGAAAACCAAACATCTACATGATAGAACAAAAATTTAATTTTCTCAGATGCTTTAGAGTCCATATAGATGAAGACTGACTTCAGAGGTTATCTTCTTACTAGATCAGTTTTGAGAGAGATGAAAGCAAAAGAAAGAAAAAAATAGAATAGCTGATGAAGTGAAACTTCAACTTTAATTTGATCATGTTGGCATTTTTTAATTTCTTGAGTGCATCGAAAGAACTGATTAATACTTGACAAATATAATACTGTTTTTATAATACTAAATACTAAATTTATTTTGTCAGCCAGGCAACCAATCAGAACCAAATGGTGATCAAGAGCTATTTTTTCAACCATGTTGTCTTCTAGGACTTTACTGAGTTAGTTCCACAGATCATGAAAACCTAGGTCTTTTCTCAGGTCTTCTATATGATTTCCCTTAAGGTGACACCCAAAGTCATAAGCTTAACTTTAGATACAGGTTTCAAAAGCAGAAAGTTTTATTCTCTTATGTTTCTATGGCATTGAAGTTTTTCAGAACTATATTGTTTTGCCCTTTCCACAACTCATGGATGTTTCTTGAAGTGAAGGAAAGGAATGTTCCCCTTTGCATAATAAAGAGCAAAAAAAAAAAAAAAAAAAAAAAGAATGAGTCTAAATTCTCACACTTAAAGTTCCAGAAGCAGACATCTTCAGGATTTTCTTTTTTTTTTTTTTTTGAGATGGAGTTTCGCTCTTGTTACCCACACTGGAGTGCAATGGCGTGATCTCGGCTCACCGCAACCTCCGCCTCCTGGGCTCAGGCAATTCTCCTGCCTCAGCCTCCTAAGTAGCTGGGATTACAGGCACGTGCCACCACACCCAGCTAGTTTTTTGTATTTTTAGTAGAGACGGGGTTTCACCATGTTGACCAGGATGGTCTTGATCTCTCGACCTCGTGATCCACCCGCCTCGGCCTCCCAAAGTGCTGGGATTACAGGGTTGAGCCACCGCGCCTGGCCAGGATTTTCTTAATTTAAAGTAGAAAGACACTACTGATATACATAAGTAAAATGTAATTGTTTTCAACGCATTGAAGCAATATAAAAAATAATCACAATGATCATTATATTTATTCTAAAACACTAAAGTTTTTCCCATCATCCCCCAGATTTTCAGGTTTCTTCTCTCATGGCTGATATCCAACCACAGAGAGAAGGGTTCTATAGTAAAAGCCTTATAAACGCTGACCTAAATGAGAAATGTTTTATCAGCATGCAATATTCTAAATTCTGGCATTTGGTTGAAAAACTGTGCATACTTTTGGCAATGGTCTTAGTGTCCACTGGTTTGGCAGCTATAATGACAATAATAAAGTATACAGTGATGACTGTTTACTTACCATTATGAGACATCCCTACTGCAAGGCATTTCTGAAACCGACAGTACTGACATTTATTTCTACTTTTTTTGTGGATCCGACAGTTAAGATCACACCTGTCATAGATAAGCTTCAATCTGATTGTCCTCCGGAAGAAACCCTGCAAAGGGATATTTTAAAAAAAAGAAGCAAATGTTAAGTCTTTGTGACACATGGAAGCAGCAGCCTATGGCTAAAGGAATACTGGCCTAGGAATCAGAAAAGGCAGGTTCTTGACACATTCTGTTACTGGTGACTTTAGACAAGTCACTTAACTGCTCTGGAACTAAATTTCCTTTACCATAAAATAAAGAACCAGAGAATCTCCAGGTCCTTTATTTATTTATTTATTTATTTTTAGCTCTTAAACACTGACCACATCCAGCTGACGGCTTTCATTGGATCTTGGCTCTACATTTGGTTTTCAGCATGCTCTAAAAAGTGCTCTGGATTTAATGTAACGCAAATAAAACACCATGTAATCAGTTCAGTCTCTCTGCAAATCATTCCAACAGCATGCCCCAGCCTTTGTAACTGTGCTAAGCAGTCTGGCAAAGTTATAATCATTTCATTCTAAAACATGATCAGGGCCAATAAAAATTCACATGTGGATAATTTTTTTTGGAATACTCTGTGTTGCATAATTTCCTGCAGAATTTGTTTCACTATTTATGTTGTTGAAAGTGTGCCCCATCATTGTTGTGGCTCACAGACAGAAAGAGACTACGGGAAATAACATGACAAGTAATCAGATAAATCCTCACAAAATCGACTGCTATCTCAAAGTGGCAAATATGTCAATTTGAAGCCAACTGAATATTCTGCTATATTTATATCTTTAGGAAAGTGCTGGGAAAAAACCAAATCGGACATGTTTTCTGACTTCATTTTTTTGGTTCTTCATATTCCTATTCATTTCTGTTGTGTTCATCTTCATAAAACTTAATTGCTAATTATTTCAAATGTATCTGGCCCTGTTTGGTGCAAAAAGCACTGCATGAGTATTGCTTTGGTCACTGACATGCATTTTGACTTTCACCAGATTTCCATTTTGAACTCTGGATGAGTATGTTCTACTGATTACTTGACAGCTTCACTTAAATAATTAATTGCCATCTCTAAGCTAGCCTGTCCAAACTGAAGTCCTGACTCTCCCCTACAAACTCACTTCATTTGCGGCTTTCTCCATCTCAGCAGCTACAACTCCATCCTCCCAGTTTCTCAAGCCAAAATCCTTGAAATCACTCTTGACTTCCTTCTTTCCTCAGGTGGAAAGCTTTCTGTAAATACACACTTGCCTATTTCCTTCATCGCCTTCAAGTTTTGTATCTCACCTTCTCAATGGGGCTAGGCCAACCTATTTAATACCGTGGCCTTTCCCACACCTCTCTTCTGGAACTCTTGATCCTCCTTACTCCGTTCTAGTTTTTCTTCTTTCCAATAGCACTTACGGCTTTCTAACACACCACAGGGTTTACTTATTATTGTTTAAGTGTTTATTTTCTGCCTCTCCCTTACTGCTTAATTAAAATTATGAGCTCCTCAGGGGCAGGAATAGTCTCTTATACCCTTGGATGGAATCCAAATACCTATGATAGTGCTCCGTTAAAATTTGTGAAATTAATACAGATATCATGTAACTTCCTTTTTGGGCTTCACCTTTTTCAACTGTAAAGTGAGAAAACACTTCCATCTCTGGTAGTTTGTTACTCCAAACTGAGATGTGACTGAGATGTTACAAAGGCAATAGGCTTGACAAAGTAATCATTATTCTCAATTTTGTGTTTATGGTTTCCTTGATCTTTAAGAAATACAGTCTGGGTGCGGTGGCTCACACCTTTGATCCCAACATTTTGACAGACTAAGGCAGATGGATCGCTTGAGTCCAGGAGTTCTAGACTAGCCTGGGCAAACAAGGTGAAACCCTGTCTCTATAAAAATAATACAAAAAACTTAGCCAGGTGTGGTGGCACCCACCTGTAGTCCCAGCTACCACTCTGGAGGCTGAGAAGGAAGGATCACCTGAGCCCAGGAGGTCAAAGCTGCAGTAAGCCAAGCCATAATCGTGCCACTGCACTCCAGTCTGGGCAACAGAGTGAGACACTGTCTCAAAAAGAAAGGTAGGAAAATACAGTTTTATCACCTGCTATGTAAAACAAAATAATATACTGTTTAATTTTGCTTGTTTTGAGGCTTTATTGAGTGATATTATGCTATATGTAGTTTTGGGGACGCTAATACAATTTGGTATTAGGTTTCTAAAATTTACGTTCTTTTTAGTGAAAGACTGTGAATTTATTCATTTTCATAATTATATAATATTCCATTGTATAACTATAATTTATTAACCTATTTGTATGCAGACAGACCTTTGAAATGTCATCAATTTTCTGCTACTATGAGAAGTGTTTATCTAAATATTCCTGTAAATGTTTTTTTTTTTTTTTTTTTTTGAGACGGAGTTTCGCTCTTGTTGCCCAGGCTGGAGTGCAATGGCGCGATCTCAGCTCACCGCAACCTCCGCCTCCTGGGTTCAGGCAATTCTCCTGCCTCAGCCTCCTGAGTAGCTGGGATTACAGGCACACGTCACCATGCCCAGCTAATTTTTAGTATTTTTAGTAGAGACGGGGTTTCACCATGTTGACCAGGTTGGTCTCGATCTCCCGACCTTGTGATCCACCCGCCTCGGCCTCCCAAAGTGCTGGGATTACAGGCTTGAGCCACCGCGCCCGGCCCCTGTAAATGTTTTAAGATGTATATGTATGAGTTAACTAGGAGTGGCATTTCTGGACTGTATAATATGTAAATATCAAATTTTAAAAGATAATGCCAAATTGTTTTCCAAAGTGGCTATGAATTTACACTCCCACAAGTGCTTTATGAAAGTTCTAGTTTCTTCCACATTTGGTGTTGTCAGACTACTTAATTTTTGACAGTCTAAAATGTATAAAATTGAATGTAAATCTCCATTTGTGTGTCTCTGGCTTTTCACTTCCCAGTTTCTGTCTTTTCTTTAAAATTTAATTTTAGACATTTTAAAAAATATGGATACTCATCTGTTGTCTGTTACAGATGTTTAAATATCTTCTCCTCTGTTTAGCTTACTATCCTTGAAATGTACTTTTTTCAGTGTTTTTGTTTTTTCAAACCATAGACATTTTCATTTCACTCTCATTCATTTTTGCTTTGAGACAAAGTGTCACTCTGTTGCTCAGGCTGGAGTGCAGTGGTGCTATGAGAGGCTTACTGCAACCTCCGCCTCCTGGGTTCAAGTGATTCTTGGGCCACAGTCTTCCAGGTAGCTGGGATTATAGGTGTACAACACCACATCTGGCTTTTTTTTTTTTTTTTTTGTATTTTTAGGAGAGATGGGATTTTGCCATGTTGGCCAGGCTGGTCTTGAACTCCTGGCCCCAAGGGATCCAGCCACCTTGGCCTTCCAAAGGGCTGGGATCACAGACATGTGCCACTATGCACGGCTCACTCTCATTCTTGAGAGATTACTGAGTACTCAGTTATTTTCTCTAAATACTTTGAATTCTAGTATCCTTCTGCTGTTACTTTGCTGTTGAGAAGGCTCTTGTCAATTTATTTCTAAGGTGATCTACCTTTTCTCTTTGGTTGCTTTTATACTCTATTTGTCTTTAGTATTCGGCAGATTTACTGTAGTGTGTCTGGGCATGAATTTCTTTTCATTTATCTTCTTGGACGTGTTGTTTCTGCCTCACAGCTTTGGCTTCATTTGTTCATCAGTACTGGACTCCAGTTAGATAAGTAATAGACTTTCTTATTCTAGCCTTCACATTTCTGAATGTCTCTTTTATGTTTTCCATCTTCTTCTCACTACTTATTCACTAATATTGTCAAAAATCAGAACAGAAGCAAAATAACATGAAAATATATGATTACACTGGCAAAAGCAAAAACAAACAGTTCTCACCAAAGTTCTTAGTAAGAACAGTTCTGCACTTTACTCTTGTATTGATCAGTAAAGAAGACATACCTTTTTAATATTCAAAGAGCCTACAAACTCTTCAAGAACTAAAAGCCTTCAAATTCCAGCAGATCCTGGATAGGATATATTCTTTAAGACATTGTTGGTTTCATTCTTGACAATTTCTTTGCATATCTCTTTTGGTTTCAGGTTTTTCTTCTGCTGTGTCCAGTAAGCTATCTAATCCTTTCAATGAATTTTTATTTCAATAATTATATTTTTTAACTTTAGAAGCTTCACTTGGTTTTTTTCACTTGGTTTTCAAATCATCCTGGTCATTCCTAATAGTTTATTGTTGCAAGCCTATGCCCTCTTTCTTTAAATAATTCAGAACAGCTGTTTTATATTCTGTATCAGGCAATCCCAATTTCTGCTTTCCAAGGGTAGGGGATGAGTGGGGAGTCTGTATCCCTCTTCCTGTTTTTGATGAATGTCATTCAAGGTGATTACCTTCTCACATGCTTGCTGATATTTATTTGGAACTAATTTCTTGACCTTAAACTGGGGGACTCCTACAAGGTCTAAATTAGGAATTCAGTAACCAGGGGTGCTACTGACTTATTACTATTTCAGACAGTCTTGAGAATCCTGGCTTAATTTAGAAGCCCTACACTTAGCTGTTTCTCACAAATTGCTCAGAAAACTGCTATAGGCATCTGCCTTTGGTGTAATGCTCCCCCCTGTACCTCTCTGAGCATCTATCATAGGGAAAACCCTGGCCTGCTAAGTGTGCCTGTGGCTCACAGCTCAGAACTGAGGGTTTGTTTCATTCTGTTTCAGCGATGTTGTTTTGGAGAGTTTTCTCTCTCTCTCATGAGATCAGCAATGTCTTAAAGAATATGCCCAATGTAGAATGGCAGTTGAAGCCTCTTTAATTCTCAAAGGGTCTGAGGACCTACAGATATGAAAAAGGTTTCCCCCCCCCCCACAGATGAATAGAATGCTAATATATAATGTATAAAACATTCTCACTGATAAATGTTGGTGAAAATTTTGATGTTTGCCATTGTGATCATAGCTATTTTATGATATTCCTTGACTTCTCTTTTGATTCTCCCTGTTTTTGGACTAATATTAGTGGGTGAAAATGCTGCTTGGCTAACTGACCGCTGGATGGCTCAGAGAGT